AAACATAAAAACATTGTTAGGAATACTTAGTTTTTGCAGATAAGTGCCACAGTTACTATCTTCTGAAAGAAGCACTTTATTCCATAGTCAATATTCTATGTCTAAATAGCGTGAATACTCCATGCTTTTCAACAGTAGCAAACATTTTAAACCTCATGTTAAAGCTTTTCTTAACCTTTTTTAAGCTCTTATGACATCAGATTCTCCTGGGATCGTGCTCTTCATGGACGATATGTTGACTAGTCAGCTGGATTTGTTTTGTGGTTGGCATTGCCAAGCAGGTATGGAAAAATGGTTTCTACTCTAAGAATCTGGGAAATTCTGGGAATCAAAACAGAGCTTAATACAATTTATGACAGGCATCAGGGAGTACTTAAATTAAGTCTTCTAGAGTGGCTTTTTCACAGGCATCATCACTGGAACAACTACCAAACTGCTATGTGTGGTGGATTTCCTGCCCTTGACACAATTCTTATGAAAATCCGCAGAAAGCGGATGACATCAGCTACAATTACTTTATGACACCACTGTAGACGAATTTCTGACAGCTATTTCAGGTCACTTTCTTGCCTCTGACTCTAAATTTATGATATTCTTAACAAAACCATGGAAGTGTATGCAGGATGAATTCTACAGAAAATCAAACTAAAAAGATTGATTAGTCAGAAAAACATAAAAACATAAAAAACCAAGCCAATCATAACCAAAGATTAACATCTTAACAGCTCTGAAGGCAGTTAATAACTTTTACAAGCTCTAATGACATCATACTTAGATGGAGTACACTCATTTCGTCACTAAAGGGCACCTGATTAGTGAATCATCATGAAACAGCCCTCCTTTCTATTTTGAGAGTTTGGCTTGGAAGTAAAATTAGTATGTCTCTCTGGTCTTTAAAGCAGATTAATAGCTGCTTTAAGAAGACTGTACCAACCAATTAAAAATTACAAAATAAATCAGGCCTGTGAAAAAAAAGTCACCTCTCCCTATGTTTCATTAAAATCCGGCTAAACATTTTTGCATGAATTTTCACATTAAATTATTTGTTTCACAACAACTTCTTCAATTGAGCAAAGAGGACATTCACACTGGCAAAACCTTAATTTTTCTTTAGGAAAGTGTATTACTTAAAACTCTGCATTTCAAAACTACACACTACAAAGCTAACAATAAAATGATCCACAACAATATTTGAATACTAATGAAAAAATAGCAGTTCTTCAACTTTTCTATATTTAATTGAATCAGGTATTTCAGTGTATTGTGGGAATACATTTTTCAGAATCAGTAGAGATCAAATGTTAATTATGAAGGCCAAGCACAAATGAATAATCTTACGTATAGACCCTGACACATTACAACGGCAAAGCACTCTGCAGATCTTATTTTATGAAAATGTACTAAGAGCGCAACTGTATAGGCCCTTAGGAAGCAATTATCCCTAAAAGATTTAGCTATAATTCAATCTGAAATATTATTAGAGATTTTTTAAAATGGTTTCACAAAGAAAAGGATTATTTTACTTTAACTATGGAAATAGGGGCCCACATGCTTCTCTGAATGACCTCTGTGCAGTTGTGGGCATTGCCTGGAGAGAAGACTTGAAATTGGCCTTTTTGTTCAGTTAATACAATCCCTATGACCAATAAGAATATTATAAAAACTAGGAGTACCAGTTTGGCATTATGGGACTAAATGGCCCACATCACTATAAGGAATGTTCTATGCAATAAACACATTAAATATGGAAATTGAAAATCATGTACTACTAATATGTATGACAGAGATTAGTTAAGAACAGCTATGTCTCCAAAGACGTGCCAATGTTATATTGCACAATAAGATGAAATGGCACAGTATAGGTCTATACAGCATGCCTTATGTGTCATATGTTTTATTTGTCACATGATCCTCAGGTGTGACATGGGATCTAAAAGTGTAAAAACGAAAGCATGCAAGAGTACTTACATCATCTTTGTGATTTCCAGATCCTGGATCTGGCCAATTTACTGCCACCACACCTCTCCCACAGTTACAATCTGTCTCTCTGCTGCTTTGCCTCATTCAGGAGTCTACAGGCTGCTACTGCCTCAAAGAAGGGTGGCAGTAGCCCTGTGAGCTAACATAACTAAAAATAAAGCTGAAAGCTTGCAGCTTATCTTACCTATTAGACCATACCATCTGTGGAATGAAATAGGTTTCTTGTGGATTGGTCTTAGATTTTTTTCCTTCTGAGCAACTCACTATTGTGAGATGATTTTAAAAAGTAAGACAGAAACAATACCCGTTGGGTTTTGTTGTTAAGTGTATTTCAAGACCCCATAGAGTTAATGATCTCATCTTTTATCACAAACTTTTATGCCATCCTTAATCTAGCTGATTCTGATTACTGTATTTTTATCCAGTTAAGATTGCAAGTATCCTTGCACCACATCTGATGTTTACACTTCCGTTACTCCCTGAAGAAAATCTACAGCAGATCAAATTCCTCATCTGCCACCTATCACCAGAATACATCTTTTGCCAAACTGAATCAGACAACATTAATTAAGTTTAAGAGAGTAGGGAAAATTAAAAATTTTTAAAACCCCAAACTTTCTTAACAGAAACTGTCCTGGATAGACACAGAAGGAAGACCTGGACTCCTTCTGCAGGACAGGTGTTTACATCTGAATTAACAGTACATAGTGCAGTTCCCAGTCTGCACGTGGAGGTGGTTGAAGTAAATGTAGATCTCCGGATCATGGTGAAAATAAAAATAGTTGTGTTGATATTTAACCCTGCACCAGAGACAAATGGCCTGTCCTATTTCTCTGAAAACGGTCAGATGACCAGACGGTGATCTGCAGCGGACAGGAGACAGGAGGGGATTCTTGGCTCTGTACATGCACTCTGTGCGTAGCACCTACGATAGCTACTGAGTGCATACAAAAGGCAGGAGGCAGCAGCTCAGAGCAAGAGGGTTTCACAGGGGAGGTGTGTGCCAAGACAGTGTGTTACCTGTCAGGGGGCTCCGGCTGGATATTTCTCCGGCAGGGAGCTCTGCCACTGATGGCAGCAGGAGCGCCCTGGCCAGCCACAGCCAGGCCCAGAGCACTGGTCAAACCCATTTCTAAAGCAGTCGCTGACACGACTTTCATCCCTACCAGCCAGTCCATATTTTCTAGGCTGTAGCTACACTAAAAAAGGGTGATAAGCTTTTCATTTACGTGAGTGCTTAGGTCAGGATGAGTGTTCATACACTGAATATCAAAGCTAACTACTATTGCCAATATTGCGTAGGGGCTTTTTAAAATTTTCAAGGTCAAGAATTCAGCTTGACCCATCGGCCTTTTAAAAAGTACTGCCATGGACCTGTCCTCACTGTAGGCAACAGTAATATGAACTGAGACAAATTGTACAGAGGTACAATATTAAAAAAAGTTCAACTTTACCAAAAATTGAAAAGCGTTCCTTTTTTCCTCCCCAAACTCTCATCTCTAAAAGACTACAACCAACTAACCTCTAACTTTGAAAAATCAAAAAATGCCTGTGACAGCCAGAAATTAAATTCTTTAAAGATGAGGTGCTGGGAGAGCAATATCAGTCTTAGAATGAAATCCTAGTAACACTACAAACTATTAAGTCACTTCTTGCTCTGAAAATACAATTATTCTGTAAGCATTTTCTCAGGCAATATTAAATGTAAAAAGTGTAGTTTCAATAAAACATTTCTGTTTTCTAATAGAAAGACTCTGTGCATAATATTTTCAATGACACAGAAAAAAGTCAGCATGCAATTAATGAAAAACAATACTATGTTCAATAAGTAGCATGCTTGGCAAGCACTAACTTTTAGTGATACCAGATTCGAAACAATACTATTATTGTGGTCAGAAACAGCCCTGAATGTTTATGATCTCTATTTTTAGTTATCTGAGGATGGGTTGCTTTCAGTATTGCACACCTGATTTTGTAATACTCACCATAGATTCTGATGGCAATTATAACCCACAGAACATACAGCATTTATGTGGCACACAACCTCTCTCTGTTTATTCATTATACTTTTTTTTTATTAAGAAATGTCAAACTACACAAGGATTTATCTTAATTCCTATACTTTGCATCGGTCAAGTTGCTGCATGAATAATGATGTTTCCCAAATATAAAAAAAAAAAAAGAAAAAGGAGGCAGAGGAAAATCTGCCTATAAAGGAGATACGTTTGGATCTTACTGCCTAAATCAAACACAGTTTTAAAACAACAACACAGTATCAACAGAGTAACTTCTGTATTTATATTGTCTCTCCACTACCCATAAAAGAGATTTTTAAGAATATAGTGGATGAATAGGTGCGCACGGTGCTTGCACGTCTTACCTGGCAGTGTCTCTTATTCTGGCTAGCGTTGAGATCGCTGGTTATGTAGCTATCAATTCCACTGACGTTACAATTTCCCTTTCTCAAAGCAGCAATAACCTGTCACTTTACACTGTCCTTTCTCTGACCCTCTCCCGCCTCTCTGCTCATTTTTATTCTTATTGACAAGACTTATTATTCCTCCTCTCAATTCCAACCAGCTACCCTTTTGCAAATAGTAGTATCAACTATGTGGTCACTAGTAGTATAGGTCAACAATGTTATTAATATAGCACACACTGCTGGGAGCAGATCAAACAGCCATGCCTTAAAATATTAGTTTTGCAAAGGTACCATGAGGCAAATAGTTGCAGTTTTCTTCACGTTATAAAATGTAATATTGCAAAGACAGACCCCAAGAATTTAGTAATTAACACTCCAATAATTTGGAGGATATGTTATTTTTTTCTTGTCGTTTTCACACACAAAGTAAAATAAAACCATAACAGAAGTGTGCTGTATCTGTGTTTAAAGAAGGGGTTGTTGGCAAACACCATAGCTCACTTCTGCCGAAATGTACACAACTGATATATGCAGCCCAGAAAGCTGGCACCAGGGGCTTACAACCTTAATTTGCCTGCAAGAAGAAATGGAGATTTACCTTCAGAGCACGTTCTTGATTGTTTTCAGCAGTCAGATGTCTCGTGTTGTTTGCTGAAGTCTGGTTCTGCTCTTTCAGATGATGAAGCTGCTGCTCCAGCCGTTTGCACTGCAACGAGGAAAGAATCCCATTAAGTAGAGGAGTGTGGGCATATTTTTTTCAACAAGCCAAATGAATTAACGTAAATAACCCCATCACCATTTCTGCAGTACCGAAAGCATCAGACAAAAGCAAGTTACAATCCCAGACCAGTACTCGAGCTATGTTTTTTAAATGTGCATCATTATTCAGTTTCCTCCTGATCCAATTGTATGCCAAAAAAAAGCTAAGTTTAGTATCAGATAAAGACATTTTGCAGAATGTTTTAAAAAGTCTTAAAAATGTCTGGTTGAATTTCTGCTCCTAGTTATGCCAATATAAGGCTACATTTTGGCTTTTATGTATTAAGTCAGTGGATATAAAGAAAGCAATACATGCTTTTAGAAAAGCATGCAAATGAAAGACCCTCCTCCCGAATCCAGGACCCAGCCTTTTATTAGAAAATATACATGTAATTTTTATACTTGTATTTTTCACACTACGAGATTACTCTAAGTCCCAAACACACACCACATCTTGAAAGAAAAGAAGTTTTAAGATTGTTTTGTTTAAATATTTAACTTAATGACAAAGAATGAAAAATTTAACATTTGCTACTGTGTGCATACACATGTATACTTAACTGCTGTCAGCCAAACATCTATTTTAAAGATTAAAGATCTGCAAATTTTGAGCTAAATTATATTTCACTGTTTTTATATGGTAACCGTAAGAGGTCTTGTCCAGTTACCTTGGTTTGAAAGTAATTAGTTGTCAGCAGACAGTTCATTGTCTTACCAAAAAAAAAAACAACAACTGTTTTACAAAAAAAAAAAGGCAAAACAAAACAAAGTACCAGGAAGACGTAGGGGAACAACTGTTAGAACTAGGGAAAAACACAATATTAGCAGGAACATTTTAAAACACTGTATTATAAGCAAGTAGTTTGGATATCGCCACCAAAACCCAAAGCTGATAGAGTCTGTTGGAAAAAAAGACAATTAATTGATAAAAAGTATTTTAATAAATACTTTCTGAAAACACTAGTAAGAAAGGAATGAGAATCGTGATACAATATCCATGTAAGCACTGCTGTCTCAAATGAAAGACCTGGAAACATCAGTCTCTTGTGCTATCTTAGTGACTGTGGAAGCCACAGAACTGAGCTTCCCATCAAGTGTATACAACCTATTCCTGAGCAATTCAGTATGTGGGAAAATGAAGCAAGGCTCATGTCAACTCTAAAAAAAGAAAGACTGTGAAACGGAGAGCTGTAGGACTGCAAAAATTATAACTGAGGTCTAAGTAAAATAAGGAATACTAAAGGATCTCGAGAGAGACATTTTAAAGACATACCAATACATACACTTCTTAAGCACAAAATAAGTCCTTAACAATGTACTGCTTATCAGGTATCCAGCATAGTATATAAGACAGAATGATTCAATCCTATATTTGAATAAGTTTTAAATAATTGTAGGTGTCCAACAGTACTATTAAAAAAATTCAATTCACATATCTGTTCATTACATCTGTGAGAAATCTGGACTTATTTCTAATAGGATTACTTAATTTAAAGGCAGCAATCTCTCTGGCCTTGTGCATTTTCTTGGTGTCTGTTGTAAAGATCCTTAATCCACAGTTTCATTTTTATTGCAAGAAAAAGAGAAAAAGACACTTTCCCATAAAATAGGGGAATACAGAAAAAATGTTGATACATTTGATTGCAAATATTTTTACAGACTTGAGACATTTAATGTCTATGTTTATCTCACACACACACAAAAAAAATCACAAATCACAGAATCACAGCTGTAATTCTTTTCCCATGTCCAGCATGAAAATTATGTGTCTGCAGACATGAGGGTGCTAATAAAACTATTGAAGAACTAAACCCAGATTATGCAGGTTTTTTTCTCTAGCAGCTTTTTTTCTCTAGCATACATGATCTAAACACCATTTAAAAAAAAAAAAACAATTCCTACTTCAGGCATTATTATGACACTTTATACATCACATCATGTAAGATCAGCAGGCCTCTTGATTTTCTGCTTTGCCAACACTCTTCTTCAAAACAGTGCTTTGGAATTCCCAATTTGACAACAGCATAGGTTTCTTACAGTAAATATTATTTAAAAGGCCAAAATCTCAATCTACCTTTAAAACATGAATTTATATTCATGCTATTCTCTTGGTTCCAAAAGAGAAATGAAAATATGCTAAGACCAAAACCTAGCTATAGGACCATATGGAAAAAGATCTCGATGTTCAGGGCAGGTTGCACAACTAAGGGCATGGGTGCAATCTTATTCTACTCTCCACTTCATTCCTGTGAAGACAGGACAGTGAAATAAACAGCAGCAGTGGGACTCTAGTATCATGCAGCATATAAAGCATGTACGACAAAGATGCAACACAAGTAACATAAAATGGACGGACCTCCCATTCAAGTCAACCTTGACATGATTACATTTACATCAATCTTGGTAGCATTTTGTAATTCATCTTTAATTTCATTTCTGCTAAGAATGTTGATATCTGAAAAAAACTAGGCATATTCAATCAGCATACTGCTTGAATCCATTTTGAGGGTATCATTGAAAGAAATGGTGATCTAATTTGATCTTTGCACTTAAGTGTCTTTGTTGGAAACAATGTATTAACAGAAGATGTTCTGAATTATCGCTCAAAATGTATTTATTCCTAGCTGCCTAGGAAGTAAAATCTCTAATTATCCTGTTTGTGAAAGTATTATAATAACACTCTTAAATGGCAACATTGTGTATGTCTTACTAAAATTTTATACACTACAACACTTTGACACCTGAACTACTTTTAAAACATTAAAATAGCATTCTAAAAGCAAGCACTCTTTTTCACAAGAACAAGAGCATATGAAATTTCTGTGTAATTTTGCTGTAAAGAAAGGTTTAAAAAAATAGAATTTAAAACAATGCAGCCCTTCTATTCATTTGAGGCAACATTTTTTGAATTCTGTATCATTGGTTGTTAGCAAGGTCCAGTAAAAATAGATGTTCTTTAAAAGAACATATGTTTTTATTGGTTCACTCCAGGGCTCTAAAATGCCAACAGCTGCAAGTAAGAAACTGGATTTCCTTCTAAAAACATATATAAAAATACTTTTTGGAGCACAGTGAAGAGAAGACATCGTCCAATTCAGTACTGGCAAAAAGGAAACGTTGGATGTATCCTTTTAAGAAAGCTGAAAGCTAAAGGAAGTGTTTCATTTTAAATATTACAAATAAGAATGTCTAAATCCTGTTATCCCAAACTTGTGAAAATTCATACTTGGGAAACCTTCAAACAGAATCCTCTTAAAGTCAGAGACAAAATATTCTGTGCAACACAGGTTGCCTAAACATCTGATCTGAAGTGTAATTGCGCACTTAAATGGAAGTTTAACACTTGAATTTAACACTTTATGAAAGACGGGCTGTTAATTGAGAAAACTGTTTCTTTACCTCAGATACTTTGAGTACATCAAGGAATATGAGAGCAGTGTAGATGGATGTCAGAGAATATGCCTTGATCAGAACACTAAAGACTTTGCTAAGTAAAGGATATTAAAGCCTCACAAATGGTAACGTCATTTTATAAAGGTGTCACACAAACAATCCACCAAGAATTAGCTTCATCGTGTGGTCTACTGTGTGTATTCTGTAGCCAGAGAGGCAATACTGAAGATACAACCCCCCCCGCCAAAACCCAATCAGAAAAAGGTTTCCTCTCTTTAAAACCCTCATGTTTGTTCTCCTCTCTGAATATATTTCCCTCAAAAAGTCTCCTACCTTAGCTAGCCTCATTCAGGTGATAATGTACTTGTCAGACGGTGAACCTCTTTAAGCCTACTCCAGGTGTTCCTTGTGTAAGCAAGTGTTTGCTTGGAGCAACCATCAGTGCCCAACTGTACAGTTTTCACTACAACACCATCCATTCCCAGCAACAGGCACTCAATCTTCTCTTTAACCATATTTCCACAGTGCAACCCGGCTGCTCTCTTCTAAATGCACTCAGTCTTTCCAAACAAATACCCCTGTACCCAGCACAGAATATACCATAAGCAGCTAAGACACAAAATGAAAAGCAAAGCAGGTAACATACCGAAAGGATAAGAAGAGATTCATACAGGAAAGAAAGGATAGGCAGCAAGTACACCTGTTCTTCCCTCCCATCTCCTAATTTAAACCATTAGGCTACTGGTGAGCCTTTTTTAACGAGCATCAGCTAACATGATTCAGCAGAACGAGGATGTTTGTGAGAGGCACCAGTTCAACCCACAGCTGGTGCTGACCCCTTTCAGTGACTATCCAGGTGGGAGGGTTGAGAATGCCACCAGGAAAATCCAGACAAACTGCAAAAAGGAGCACCTGCTACAGGGGAAGCTGATAGAGAGGTCAAGAAGTGGACCAGGAGAATATCACTGACTAAAGTCCTTGAGGCTCACCCAGAAAGAGACTGTTAAAAGATGGTCTAGTTCCAAATACACAAAAGGAGTAAAGATGGTTTACAATGAATTGAGTATTTCAGAAGATAGAAAAATCAATGCAGATAACCACTTAATAGTGTTTGGCGTTTCCTAGAAAATGAGGTTGCATTAACATATCAAACATAACTTTAGTACTTGTATAAACAAATCATCTGTAACTGCTGTCAGCTTTTCATCATTTTCTTCTTCAACTTGTGCCTATAACATGTTAACACGGTGTTATGGTGCTTGCCATGTCTACACAGATTGATGAGTTATTTTTTGATCATTACTTAACATGATTCTTCAGTGAGGTGTTCTGACAGTAAAAGGTACAGACATTACAAAAAGTAAAGAAAAATCTACAAGCCATTGGAGAAATAATATTAGTAGGGACAAAGATGTAATACAGCAAAGCACTAACATCGAGCAGAGCAACCCCCTGCCCCCAACCATTTGGTCACGCAGTTTGTTTATATGAAGACAACACCTATCCCCAGAGGCCTCATGCAGAAGCGTATTTAACTCTGCGCTAAGCAGGTCGATCAGACTGTTCAGGTGCTTTCAAAGAGACATAAATATTTTGCTACACCGGGGGTCTGTCATGTCCCACCTACGAGAAAAGTGAGACTCAGATGGGGGAAAAGTGACTCATATTCGCAAATCCCCTCAGTGTGGATTAAGGCGAAACAATCACTCAAGGTCCATGCATAAACATCAACTTTAATGGAACAAATGTTCTGCAAACATTAGTTCTTCAGCAACTATCTCTACCTAAGCTGTGCGGCTGTATGAGGAACCAAGGAGGGCCTCGTGTTACTT